AGAATAAACGCCTCTGCTCAGTACAGATCTGCCACCCCTAGTGACTCAGACGACTCCATCTCTAGTTTGTGGTCGGGGTGGATTAACAGTGTTACCCACCGCTGTCTGAAATGAGGCCTTTGATTTGAATTTCCTGCGCAAATTTGATTAAACGCTGTTTTATTTTTGCGTGTTTCGGAACCTGTGTCCCCTCTGATGGCTCCTGTCAATCAGATATTGCTGTCACTGCACTGGGACATCCTCCCGACGTGAAAGGCGCACTATTAATTTAATTGTGTGTAATTTATTGTACTGTAATGTAATGTATTGCATGGGATGACACTTCAGGAATTACCTCTGTCAGATCTCTTGATGGTTAAGCCGATTGCTGATCGCTTTCCGGGGGCAAAAAAGAATAACAATTTGGGTGACTCGATCCACGGCTGTTTGTGAGGACGTTCCCGGGCGCAAGTGGCTGCCCCGTTTTGCCCACAAAACTCACAGTCACTACACTTGACAGTGCAGCCTGCGAAGCGCTTTTGAACCTCTCGCAGGCCCCGGCTACGTCAAGTGCGAGGCTGACGATTGTTACGATATAAATGCAAGTCGTCGTTGTCGTTGTTGATGATGAACGAGTTTGCCTCTCGTTTTAAAAGCAAAGATGGTGGTTCACGAGTCCTTCAACGACGACACCCTCTCCAGCCCCAGGGACCGGATCCACCCCCTACCCCAGGAGGATATCCGCGCTGGGACGGGCTCCGCTGAATCGGACGGCGGGACAAGTGAGCGACAGACATTTTGTTTAACAACCGTTGCACAGAGCAGCTCCAATCCCTTTTCTCCTACTCCTTCATCCATTGCGTCCACCCCGTCCACGCTCTGCCTGTGCGAGGCGAGGAGAGAGTCCTGTAGCTCAGTGGTTAGAGCGACGTTGACCTGAAACATTAACTCGTTTTCCTCTCTCCATAGATGCTGCCTGACCTGCTGCGTGTTCCCGGCCGCTTCTGTGTTCCCTTCGCCTCTTGTGCCTCACTCTGTGCCCTTCTCACACACTCCAAACCCTCCCCAGGAACATTAATGACAATAATAATTAACACCGATGATCCTTGCGTTCGACACAGCGCTTTATTGCGTCTTCCAGACATCTCAGGGCCCTTTGAAGCGCTTTGAAATGTCTCGAAGACATGATAAGGCGCTGTGTCAAATGTGAGGATTATTATTATCATTGGCCTTGTATGTTTTATACAGTTATTTATGATCTATTGAAAGGGTCGTGTCACATCCACCTGCTGCATTAAGGTGTCTGAAGTGAAATGTCCTGCACTCGTTTCCATGAACAACAACAAACTTGTTCCACTACTTTTCATTTCAGCGGTGAGGTTATTTTGTGAATTAGCCATAGTTATTCCCGGGTCGGGACTCACTCCACCACCTAAAGCTCTGCGACCTCAAATATTTGTCCGTCTTTATTTCCCTCTGTGTAAGTCCCTATGTGTGTGTGTCTGTGTGTATCTCTGTGTACGTGTGTCTCTCTCTCTCTGTGTTTGTGTCTATATGTGTGTGTGTATATATACATTAGAATACATTAGAATATACAGCACAGAAATAGGCCATTCGGCGCAACTGGTCTCTGGCGGTGATTATGCTCCACATGAGTCTCCTGTCCTTCCTCAACTGAGCCTTCAAGCAGAACCTCCTAAGCTTTTCTCTCTCATGTACCTCTCTGGCTTCCTCTTACATAATCTGTGCTGCCGTCCTCCTGTGGATTAAATATTCCCCCAATTTGGTGTCGGGCGCACATTTTGAAATTGCCGATTGCTGAGTCCAAATCATTAATGTATATTGTGAACGACAGTGGGTCCCATTCTCCATCCTCCCCCCCCCCCGTCAGCCTGAGTACCTCATGTGTCTCTCTGTGTGTCTATGTCTCTGTGTGTCTATGTATGTGTCTGTATGTGTGTGTCTATGTCTCTGTGTGTCTATGTATGTGTCTGTATGTGTGTGTCTGTATGTCTCTGTGTGTCACTATGTGTGTGTCTGTATGTCTCTGTGTTTGTATGTATATGTGTGTGTCTGTATGTCTCTGTATGTCACTATGTGTATGTCTGTATGTCTCTGTATCTCTGTGTGTGTGTATGTGTCTGTGTGCCTGTATGTGTCTGTATCACTATGTGTGTGTCTGTATGTCTCTGTATGTCACTATGTGTGTGTCTGTATGTCTCTGTATGTCACGGTGTATGTCTGTATGTCTCTGTATCTCTGTCTGTGTGCCTGTATGTGTATGTGTCTGTATCACTATGTGTGTGCCTGTATGTGTATTTCGCCAGCATCAAAGATGGCGGCCACCACCAGCTGCCCCATGGGAATATCTGGACGGAAGTGACGTTAAGGAAGTAGTGTGACTCGGGGAGGGGGAGATTGGCCGGATATCCGGGGGAAGGAGGGCGAGAGCGAGGCTCAGGCCTGTGGGCCTCACAGCCTGAGGTGAGGGCGAGAGTGCGTGATATAGAGAGAGAGACAGTGATATAGAGAGAGAGACAGTGATATAGAGAGAGAGACAGTGATATAGAGAGAGAGACAGTGATATAGAGAGAGAGACAGTGATATAGAGAGAGTGATCATAGAGAGAGAGACAGTGATATAGAGAGAGAGTGAGTGTGATAATAGAGAGTGGTAATATATATAGAGAGAGATAATAGAGTGATAGGGAGAGAGTGATAATAGAGAGAAAGTGAGTGATAATAGAGTGATAATACAACAATAAGCTTTCATTTTAGAGCGTCTTTCACGTCGGGAGGACGTCCCGAGGCAGAGAGATCTGGGGTTCAGGTAACGGAATCCTTGAAGGCGGCCGGACAGGGGGATACGGTGTACAAAGGGAATATGGGATACGAGGCTTTATAAATAGGGGCACAGAGTACAAGAGGTGATGATTAACCGATAGAAAACACCGGTTGGACCTCAGTTGGAATACTGCGCCCAATTCTGGGCACCGCACTATAGGAAGGACGTTAAGGCATTGGAAAGGGCGCGGAGGAGATTTACGAGGACGGGACCAGGAATGAGGGACCGTGAGGATGAGGGAAGGCTACAGAGAGGCCGGGATTATTCTCATTGGAGCAGAGAAGGTTACGAGGACGTAATAGAGGTCTTCAAAATTATGAGGGGATTTGATAGGTTAGAAAGGGAACAACTGTTCCCACTGGTGGGAGTGTCGGTGACTCGAGGTCACAGAATCAAAATAGTCTCTAAGAGAAGCCGAGGGGAGGGGAGAAGAACTGTTTTCACGCAGCGAGTTGTTGGAATCTGGAAGTATTGCCTGAAAGGGCGGTCGAGGCCGATTCGATAACTACGTTTAACGCGGTGGACGGGTATTTGAGGAGACGGGTTTGCAGGTTATGGGGAAAGGGCCGGGAGTGGGACTGACATTACATTACTCTATTCAAAGCGCCGCACAGACTCGATGGGCCGAATGGCCTCTTTTTGTGCTGTACAATTCTATGGTTCTATGAATGGAGAGAGAGTGACTGAGAGTGTGATAATAGAAAGAGTGATAGCGAGAGTGTGATGATAGGGAGTGATAGAGAATGTGATAATAGAGAGATAGAGAATGTGATAATAGAGAGAGTGATCGAGTGTCATAAGAGTGAGAGTGATAATAGAGATAGAGAGTGTGATATAGAGAGATAGTGTGTGGTAATAGAGTGATAGTGTGACCATAATGTGATAATAGAGTGATAGCGTGTGATAATAGAGAAAGTGGCAATAGAGAGAGTGGTAAAGAGACAGTGATGATAGAGAGTGTGTGATAATAGACAGAGAGATAGAGAGGTTGATAATAGAGTGAGTGATAATAGAGAGAGAGTGACAGAGAGTGTGATATTAGAGAGAGAGTGTGATAATAGAGAGAGTGATAGAGAGTTGATATTAGAGAGTGAGAGTGATGATAGAGGGAGTGTGATAATAGAGAGTGAGAGTGATGATAGAGGGAGTGTGATAATAGAGAGTAATAGTGTGATAATAGAGTGATAGACACTGATAATAGTGTGGTAATAGAGAGAGTGATAATAGAGAGATAGCGAAAGTGTGTTAATATATTGAGAGTGATAGAGAGAGTGTGATAATAGTGATAGAGTATAACAGAGAGAGTGTGATAGGGAGTGTGTGGTAATAGTGATGATAGAGAGAGTGTGATAATAGAGAGTGTAACAGAGTGATAGAGCATAGTAAGAGTGATGATAGAGTGTGAAAATAGAGAGAGTGTAACAGAGTGATAGAGTATAGTAAGAGTGATGATAGAGTGTGATAATAGAGAAAGTGATGATAGAGTGTGACGGAGAGAGAGAGTGTGACGGAGAGAGAGAGTGTGACGGAGAGAGAGTGTGACGGAGAGAGAGAGTGTGACGGAGAGAGAGTGTGACGGAGAGAGAGAGTGTGACGGAGAGAGAGAGTGTGACAGAGAGAGTGTGACTAAGAGAGAGAGAGTGTGATAGAGAGTGTGACTGAGAGAGAGTGTGATAGAGAGAGAGTGACGGAGAGAGAGAGTGTGATAGAAAGAGTGTGACGGAGAGAGTGTGACTGAGAGAGTGAGTGTGACTGAGAGAGTGTGACGGAGAGAGTGTGACTGAGAGAGAATGTGATAGAGAGTGTGTGACGGAGAGAGAGAGTGTTGTTTGGGCGCGATTGGCCGCCGCGTTCGGCCCGCAAACCACACGCACAGCCACTACACTCGACGGCGTGTCCCGCGAAGCGCTTTGAGAGGCCACGGGGGCCGAGGGTTATTATCGTCTGGTTTCCAGGTGCGGAGACGGCGGAGGTTTGAGCGAGGAAGGAGCCTGAAGGCGGAGGGGATTTACCCCTAGTCATCCCCTCCCTCGCCCCGCTCTCAGCCCCCCACCCCCCACACCCCGAGCGGGAATCGGGGAAGGAAGGACGGAGAGATGAAGGAAGCTCGGAGCCGGAGCGCCCAGAGCGAACTCCGCGCGTGGGACGAGGAGATCGGGCTGGACCTGGGGATGAGGATGGAGGTGGACGAGGAGATTGGCGAGGAGGAGGAGGAAGATGACGAGGAGGAGGAGGAGGAGGGTACTGCTGATGATGAAGGTGGCGTTGGCGACGGCCAGGAGGAGGAGGTGGTGGTGAAGGTCGCGGACGGCCCACACCGCCTGCCGTGCGGCCAGTCCTGCGCCTCGGCCTCCAGGCTCCGGAGCCGCCGCCGCGACCCCCGCCCGGGGTTGGCGGGACCTGCAGGTTGTGGCTGCGGCCGGGCGGGGGGGCTGCTGCTGGTGCGGCGGCGGCGCCTCGGCGGGGGTCCGGGGCGCGGGGGCCGGGGCCGGGCCGGGGAGCACAAGCCACACCGCTGCGTGGAGTGCGGCCTGGCCTTCCACTTCGTCAAGCAGCTGTACGACCACGCGGGCAGCCACGCGGGCAGTCGGCCCTTCATCTGCTCCGAGTGTGGCTGCGCCTTCCGCCGGCTGGAGGAGCTGCGCGGCCACAGGTCGGTGCACGGGGCGGAGCGGGGCTTCGTGTGCGGGCGCTGCGGCCTGGCCTGTGCCTCGGCGGCCGGGCTGGGGAAGCACGGGCTGGCGCACGGGGAGGAGCGGCGGCCCTTCGTGTGCGGGCAGTGCGGGCGGGGGTTCAGCCAGGGCGGGGCGCTGGACAGGCACAGGTGCCCCTCGCCGCGCCCGGGGCGGGAGGCGGCGGGAGCGGGAGGAGGCGGTCAGTCGTTCCCGGAGGCCGCGCACACGCCTGCCCGCGCCCGCCGGCCCGGGTACCAGTGCGTGGAGTGCGGCCGCGCCTTCACCCGCCTGCGGGGCCTCCAGGACCACCAGCGAGTTCACTCGGGGGACCGGCCCTTCCGCTGCCTGGAGTGCGGCAAGGCCTTCACCCGCACCTCGGCCCTGCGGGTGCACCTGCAGGCCCACGGCGGCGCCAAGCCCTACCAGTGCGGCCTGTGCCGGATGCGCTTCGCCTTCGGCTCCCGCCTGCGGCGCCACATGCGGACCCACACGGGCGAGCGGCCGTACGTCTGCCCGCAGTGCGGGGTGGCCTTCGCCCAGTCCTCCAACCTGAAGGACCACCAGCGCAGCCACGCGGGCCACAAGCCGCACGTCTGCCCGCAGTGCTCGCGGGCCTTCGTCTCCTCGTCCACTCTGGTCAAGCACCTCCGCACCCACTCCGGGGAGCGGCCCTACGCCTGCAGCCGCTGCGGGAAGGCCTTCACCCAGTCCTCCACCCTCAAGAGGCACCGCTGCCCGGCTGCCCCTCCCCCGCCTCCCGTTGTCGCCGCCGCCGCTGTGGCCCCCGGGGCCCAGGGGGAGGGGGGAGGGGAGCGCGGGGCGCCCCCGACCACCGGGGACGGGGACGAGGCCATCCTGTGCATCTGCGAGTGCGGCAAACCCTATCTGAAAGCCCCTGGGGATCAGCCCCCCCGCTGCTCGCACCCCGCCCACACCTCCACTCGGCACAGAAAGAGGTCCTGACCCTCCCTCGTACCCCCTCCCCACCATTCACACAGCACACAGTCACTACACTCCTCCCTTTGGAAGGAGGTCAGTGGGGTCTCCTCGGGGCTGAACTGGCCCCAAGGTGACTCCAAGCCTCGGCACTGGAGTGTGGGGATCGAGACCCCACCCCCCCTCTCTGTGCCGGTGTCTAGTCCCCGGATCCTGAGCCACGAGGGGCCTCAGGGTCCCAGGGCACCCACTGCTGATGGCAGCCCAGCCCGGCTCATCGGCCGGACCTGGAGGGGCCGACCAGTCACTGGGGGCAGAATCCTCCCCCTCAGCTCCTGTTACCCCCACAGCCAAAGCCCCAACTAACTAACGGGGAGGGGGGTCCTCGCTGGACAAGCAGCGGGAAACCTCGGCCACACAGCGCTCTCTCTCGCTCTCTCTCTCTCTCTCTCTCTCGATGGCCGAGCTGTGTGTGGGTTTAGTTGGTTAGACCCCAGCAGTTACCCCCCAACACACACTCTGGGCTCCCCCCAAAGCCTTGGCTCTCGCCAACCTGCGCCTAATACTCTCCGGAATTAGGTCAGCAGAGGGCGTCCCTCCAGGGAGAGAGGGAGAGAGAGAGAGAGAGCGCATTCCATCCCAACAATCTCTCTCTGGGGTTTCAGGTGTGGGGGGGATGTGGGGAGATCTTTGAGGCATCTCAACCGTGTGAGGAAACACGATGTATAGCGTTGGTTTGTATATCTCACAGACCGTTATATCATCTGATCCCAACCCTAGCCTTTTGATGTTGCAATGGAGGCTGGTGAGAACAGAGAGGGGGGTGGGGGGGGATAGACACAGATTGGGGGTGAAGGTTAGCTGGATGGAGCCCTCTCTTGCCCTCTCCCCCAGTCCATTCCTACCCTTTGGTTGGTGTGTGGGTTCAACTGACTACATTCCATCTTGAAGGTGCTCTCTCTCTCTCTCTCTCTCTCTGTGTCTCCCTCCATCCCCCTCTCCCTCCCTTCCTCCCATCCCCCCCCCCCCCCCTCTCTCTCTCTTGCTCCTTAAAGACAAGTGGAGTTCACAGCCCCCATCATGTTGGGACAAAGGGGGATACAGCCTTGTTATAACTTCCATTCAACAACAACAAGATTTCATTTATAGAGCGCCTTTCACGTTGGGAGGACGTCCCAAGGCGCTGGACAGTTGGGTCGGGACCCGAGCATTGGGGGGAAATGGTCAGGGTGAGGGGAGGGGAGGGAAGGAGCAAGGAGGGGGAAAATGGTCAGGGTGAGGGGAGGAAGGGAGGGAGCGAGGAGGGGGTAGAGAGTCGAGAGGGGATCTGAAGGCTCGATTGAAGAGAAAGGCCTTGAGACCGGCCTTGAAGGAGGAAAGGGAGGAAGCGGCGAAGGCACTGGGGATGGAGTTCCAGAGCCTCGGGGCTGAGAGGCTGAAGGCCACCGATGGTCGGGCGGTTGGGGCGGGGGATGTGGAGCAGACCGGAGCCAGAGGGACGGAGGGTACGGGCAGGTAAGTAGGGGGACAGTAGGTCAGAGAGGTAGGAGGGAACGAGGCCGTGAATGGCCTTGTAGGTGAGGATGAGGATCTTGAATTCGAATAAGGAGGGAGAGGGGGATGGAGGGAGAGAGAGAGCATCTTCAAGATGGAATGTAGTCAGTTGAGCCCACACACCAATCCAAGGGTAAGAATGGATTGGGGGAGAGGGCTCCATCCAGCTAACCTTCACCCCCAATCTGTGTCTATCCTCCCCCACCCCTCTCTGTTCTCACCAGCCTCCATTGCAACATCAAAAGGCTAGGGTTGGGATCAGATGATACAACGGTCAGTGAGATCCTCCAATTCCCCCCACCCCCCGCACACACAACTCCCAAAGCCCTCCTCCCTGATCACCTTTAGACAACCATTCGGGAAAAGTTTCCGTTTGCAACTGAGCCAGTAAGTTTGTGAACAATTTGGAGAGCAGAGGGGTGGGGGGTGGGGGGAGAAACTCAAGTGAAGTATCCTCTGTGGGGACGAGACGTGTGAGTGTGGGCGGCCATGGGGAAGAACATAAGAACTTGCTGGCGAAAGAAGACCAAGGTCCACCTCATTCGCCTTCCACCGTCCCTGGCAGTCGCTTGACAGGTCGTGTCCCAAACTATACATCGTCTCCCCCAAGAGTTTTATTTTCTACCCGAGAACGCTGGGCGCACGGACTGGAACTGCCGGGAAACGAGCCCAAGCGACAGCCTGGAATACTCCGCAGAGCAACTACCTCGATACTGAATTGTTACTGACCAAACCAAAATGGACGCAGCACTATCCGGCTTTCTGACTGTGTGCCTCTTGTTTTGTGTGTGTGTCTGTGTGTGTGTGTGTGTGTTTGTGGGGCACCAACTCAACCATCCTCTGTAAGACTTGGGACGTCGTGTTTCCCAATTGGAAAATTCGGCCTTTTTAGTTGTCGGATCGCGGGAGGACATTAGAATCTGCCGGGACCAAAGCCACCGAGGTCCATCCAGTCCATCCTCCACCATCCCGGGAATCGCTTGACAGGTCGTGCCCCAAACCGTGTAGCGTCTCCCCAGATATTATAACCTAACAGAAACCCCATCTGATTTGTTCTTGAGACAAAAGACAGTTACTCCTTCCACCGTCTGTCTGTCTGTCTCTCCCTCGGGAGTCTGATCCACACGTTTACTGAAGGACAGTTGACTGGTTTACAGTTCCGTTTTGGAAACCAATGGACCGGAGCAGCCATTTCTGTTGGATGATTTTCCCAAGTCTTTCCTACTTCCCCAGACGAGTTCCTGATGTGTGTCCCGCTCTCCCCCCCCCCCTCTCTCTCGCGCGCTCTCAGCTTCTCCGCTGGGAGAGAACGTCAATGAAGGACTGATATTTTTTTTTTGCAATGGACGACAACAACTTTGATGCTTGTTTTATGTCTCACTTGTGGCCAAAAAGCTGCCGTAATCTCTTGACCTCCACCTCTTTTATCCATCTCCATCCTCCCCCTTTTCAACCCCTTTCCCTCCTCTCCTCCTCCTCCAATCCCTTTTTCATCCATCCGCACAACTTTCCCGCACTCTCCATATCCCCTCCCGTCCCTCAACCCCCCCCTCTCCGCCCCCACTCCCAGTTGAGTCGATTGTAAACGGGAAGAAATGGATCTCTGTAATCCTCAAGTACTGAACGCTATTACGTTTGCTCCTTCCAGTCTGTAAAGCTTAAGGTTTATATGGAGCCCTGTAGCTCAGTGGTTAGAGCACTCGCCTTGAAAGCGCGAGGACCCGGGTTCGATTCCCGGGCGGGTCAGGGCACAACCTCAGGTGCTAATCCATTGTGAGTGGATCACTTTCCGGGGCTGATCATCTATCCAAAAAGAAATATTAATACTAATAATGGGGCCACTCAATCCACGACTGTTTGCGGGACGCTGCTGCGCACAGTTGGCTGCCGGGTTTCACCCACAAACTGCGCGGTCACTACAGTTGACAGTGTATCCCGTGAAGCGCTTTCGGACGTCTCGAAGACGTGATGAGGCGCTGAATCAAACGCACGGACTATTATACTGTGAAGCGCCTTTCGAGACGTCTCGACGACGTGATAAGGCGCTATATCGAATGCAAGGATTATTGTGATGGTGTAGGAGTACGGGGGGAGGGGGGAGAGGGGGAGAAAAAGATTGTTGGATCTTTGATTTTTTTTTAAAGTTTCTTTTAAAAAGCAAATACGAACAAAAAGCCGTCCTCGTTAATGCGGATTAATCTGCGTCGCTCCAGTTGCACTGACCACTGACTGGGACGTGTGGGTCCGCTGTTGGGGGAGGGAGGGAGGGAGGTGTTTTTGACAAGAAAATTAGCCTTTTTTTTTACTGCGCGTGGACTAATTTAGACAAACGTCGGACGACGACCGGGTGGTCTGTGGGCTGTTTGGCCGCTTTTGAATCGTATCACAGTGGGGTGTTACTCTTGCGTTGTATATGTACGTGCGCGAGTCCTGTAGTGTCGTAGTTAGCGCCTCGCAAGCGAGAGGACCCGGGTTCGATTCCCCGGGCGGGTCAGGGCGAAGCCTTAGGCAACTAATAATCCCTTCAAAATACATAAGTAATCATAATTCGGCCACTTAATCCACCACTGTGTGTGTGTGTGGGGGGGGAGAGGGGAGGTCGTTGGGCGCAATTGGCTGCCGCGTTTCCCCCCACAAAATACACAGTCACCGCACTTTACGGTGCCTTCTGCGAAGCGCTTTTGAGACGCCTCGAAGACGCGATGGGGCGCTGTATCAAATCCGAGGATTATAGAGAGATACACACACAAACACACAGCGCACACGATGTGGTCAGATGCCAACTGTTTTGACCGGGACAGGTAGCGAGTTCCCGGGCGGGTGGGCCGGATGGTCCGGGTGGAACGAGCCCAATGTTGACTTGAAGTCGGGCGTAGATTCCTCAAGGTCCTCCCGCAGAAAGGGTATCGGACGCTGTGGCAGAGCGGGGCCGAAGGGAAAGGTTCGAAGCTGTGTGGCAAGTTTGGAAAGGGTTGGGGTTCTTGGGTTAAAGGGGATTTGGAGGGTTTTCACCCACATCCACACCCTCCCCACTACCCACCACCCCACCACCCCACCACTGGCCTCATCTCCCTCTGCTCACTCCTGCACAATGTCCTGTACGTTCCTTCTTGGTTCACAGCTGCTGAAACCCTACACACACCCCCCACCCCCCACCCCCCACCTGAGGAACATTTACCAAACGCTGTGGCGAGCAATAAAGCTTTGACTTCAGAAACCTGAGTGCGCTTTATTCTGTATTCTCTCTCTCTCTCTCTCTCTCTCGTGTCTTGTCTCCGGTCTACCATCGGCGGCCGAGGTTTCAGCCACTACCCCCTGAAACTCTGGAGCACTCTCCCTCCGCCTTCCTTGCCCCCTCTCCCTCCCCATCTTGAGGTCACCGCTGAAGTCCTTCCTCGTTGACCCCGTGCCTACGGTCACCTCCCCCCCCCCCGGCTTGGCGTCTTGTGCCGTGACTGTCCGGGACGCGGTGCAAGTGCAAGTTGTTGTCGTTTCCTCGCTATGCGTTGTCCAGGGCTTTATAAACGGGGACATAGAAAAGTCAGGAAGTTATGATGAACCTTTTGCTCACTCGCCTCCGTTTACCGGCATTGAGTTGGAACCCGGTAGGTAGTCAACCGGCCGATCGCTTCTTCGGGGCGGAATAATAATACCTTCCAAAGAAAATGCGGTCACTCAATCCGCGGCTGCGTGTGGGGGACGCTGCTGAGCGCCATCGGCTGCCGCGTGTCGCCCACGAGATACCCGGTCGATTAACTTTACGGTGCGTCCTATGGATCCATCGCAATACGTGTGCGTATTATTATTATTATTGCGCGCTCTGACGCGCTATCCTGCGTGGAGGGCGCTATATAAGCGCACGTTGTCTTCGTGATCACAAGAATATGCGTTACGCTACGTGACTCTTCACGTCTCTCTCCCTGTCTCGCAGAGCGCTGCTGAGTTCAGCGATGAAATCGAGCCTTTCCTGTGCGGTTGGAGTCAGATAAACATTATGCAAACGGCTTTGACCCACATCTTGTCTGGCAGGAGGTAAAGATTTTTATTGGCACTCAACGGGGGGGAGGAATCGCTCTTGGCTTTGGTGGTGGGTTCTGCAGCTCAGTGGTTAGAGCCTCGCAAGCGAGAGGACTCGGGTTCGATTCCCGAGCGGGTCACGTCAGGTCGGGGCGAAATGTTGGGCAAGGTTCCTTACTTCCCACACGCACATGCACACACACACGCACACGCCTCTGTTTACCAGCAGTCAGTAGGTACCCGCTTGTTAGTCGATTGGGGGATAGCTTTCCGGGGGTAATAATCCCTTCCAAAAAATAATAGTAATAATAATTTGGCCACTCAATCCACGACGGTTTGTGGGAAGCTGCTGCCTGCAAATTGGCTGCTGCATTTCACCCGCACAATATACACGGTCACTGCACTTTACAGTGTACAATCCTCGCATTTGACCCGGCGCCTTATCATGCTTTCGAGACGTCTCGAAGCCCTTCACGGAATAGACTGCAAAGCGTAACGACTGTGCAACGCGGCAGCCGATTGCGCCCGGCGACGTCCCCACAAACAGTCGTGGGTCGGGTGACCAATTTGTTTTTTTGGAAGGAATTATTACTCCCCGGACAAGTGAGCTGCCAATTGACGAACAAGCGGGTTCCTACTTATTGCGGGTAATCGGAGGCGCGTGTGCGTGTGCGTGCGCGTGCGTGTGCAAGTGGAGTAAGGAGACTTGCTCCAGGTCAAACCCAGGTCCTCTGGTTTGCGAGGCGAGTGCTCTAACCATTGAGCTACTCCACGATAAGACCTGATAAGGCGCTGTATCAAACGGAAGGATTATCATAACTATTATTCATGGTTAATAATAATACTACTAATAATAAGGCCACCAGCTAAAGGCCCTGCGTGATTTGGGGACAGTTGCCGACCTGCGGTTTCGGTATCACCAGGTTTACTCGGTTAAATGGCCATCAGAATCCAGGCTCCGTCGCTCGAGAATATAGACTCGTAAACTGGAGCTTTGTGACACCGCAAAACCCGCTCTCATGAGCACAGCAGATACACCGCTTCCTGTCTTGTGTTGTTGAGGCCGATGCTGAGCATCTACAGCCTCGAACCACTTCTAAGCAAATATTATTCTTTGTTAAAGTTACGCAAGTTATTTTCTGGGAACCCGGAGGCAGATTGTGTCTCCCAATGACTTCGGCGCGCGACTACAACCACAATAATGGTCCTCTGCGTTTGACACGGCGTCGCAGAGACGTCTCGAAGCGCTCCGCAAAAAAAAGGAATTGACTGCGTATTTTGTGGGCGAAACGCGGGAGACAACTGCGCGCACACACGCCCGCGAGCGCTCGTGGATTGAGTGACCATATTTTTTTTTTTTCGCCAATTGACTAACAACTGGGTACCTATTTATTGTCAGATAAACAGGTGTGTGTGTGTGTGTGTGTGTGTGTGTGGAGTAAGGAAACGTGACCAACATCTGGCCCTGACCTGCCCTGTAATCGAACGCAGCTCCTCTCGCATGTGAGGCGAGGTCTCTCGCCACTGAGCTACAGGACGACTGTGCATAATAATTGTTAGGCGTGTTCGCATGGGATATAGCGCCTTATCATGTCGTCGAGACGTCTCAACGCTTATCATCTTAATAATACAATAATATAATTACAACAATAATAATAATCCTAGCATTTGATACCTTATCGCCTTATTACACCATTGAAACGTCCAAAAGCGCTCCGCGGGTTACACTGTAAAGTGCAGTGGCCGTATATTTTGAGGGCGAAACATGGCAACCAACTGCGCACAGCAGTGTCCCGCGGACAGTCGTCCATTGATTAGCAAATGGAGTTTATTGCAGATAAATGCCAGAGATCGAATGCAACAACAGGAAACACAATTATACCAATTATTGTGTGACTGGGAGAGAAGTTGCTGGAGGTGGCGTAGGGGGGGAGGGAGAGGGGGAGAGAGAGAGATGTCCAGGTGTATTAGCTCCCTCTCTGCCCGGTGGGCTTCATGTCCCCTGACCTTGCCCACCCCTTCGGCCTCTCCGCCCCCACCCTCTGGAACACCATCCCACAGTTCCTCCGCCTCTCCCGCTCCCTCTCCCCGTCCCTCTCCCCGTCCCTCGCCCCCTCCTGATCCCAACCCCCAGCTCGGGTCTAAACCCCTGACTGTCCAGCGCCTCGGGACGTCCTCCTGACCTGAGAGGCGCTGTGTTGTTGTTGTTGTTAGTGACTGGCAAACAGGAGCCACTGGGCGGGATTGCTAAACCGGTTGAGCTCAAATCCTCAGAGGTCACAGTCAATTCTCTGATCAGACCACACAGTTCTGGTCACTGACATAACCCAACCTACGACTCGCTGCCGGTTTCGCCCACAAAATACACAGTCACTACACTTTATAGTGTATCCTGGTAGGTTTAACGTCTCACCCGGAGGGCGGCGTCTCCGACACTGTGACCCCCCCCCGGGGCTGCACTGGAGCATCGGCTTAGACTGTGTGATGCCAAGTCCTGACCTGAGGGCTCGAACCCACAACCTTCTGACTCAGAGACTGATCAGATTGATTTTTTATGTGTTTATTTCTCTGTTTAATAAAGTCTATCACAACGTCTCATATCTCACTCTCAACAGATACACAGACCATCTTAGCAGAGGATCAGAGAGAGAGAGAGAAGAGAGGGGGAGAAAGAGAGAGAGAGAACTCGGGAGCTTGCACTAGTTGGGGTAAAAGTGGGGGTGTGGAGACTAGTTGGGGTAAGAGAGGGGGAGTGGGGACTAGTTGGGGTAAGAGAGGGGGAGTGGGGACTAGTTGGGGTAAGAGCGGGGATGGGGGGGTGGGGAGTGGGGTTAGTTGGCAGCTCTTCCGAAGAGCCGGCACTGGCCTCACTGAGCCGAATGGCCTCCTTCTGTGCTGTAATATTGGATTCCATGAGGAGTGGGTTTCACCTGCACCGGGTGTCACCGGGTGTCACCGGGTGTCACCGGTTGGAGCAACAACAACTTACCAGGCGACCCTCACACAGCGCAGCGCAGGGCCCGACAGTGGCGGAGCACAGCTTGGAGCCGGGGTGGGGGGGGTGGTGGGGGGTGGGGCGCGAGTTGGGCAATGGCCGAAGAGGACGGTCTTCAGTGGCGGCTTGAAGATGGGGGTGTGGGGAGGGGGCGAGGTGGGCGGAGGGGGGGGAGCGGCAGGAGTCTGTGGCGATGTCTCTCTGGGAGTGCCCCGCATTGCTGAGTGCCTCTCACTGATGCCCCTCCGGTCTCTCGGAGGGTTTGACGTCGTGTTCCCGGTCGGGGGTTTTGCTGTGATGTCCGGATTTGGACTGGAAACTGAAGTAATCCACGTTTATCATATCATACAGAGAGGAGACCGACGTTTTGGGCTCAGTCGCGGCCGGGATTTCAGGGAGACCTTCGCACTGTTTGTCGGGCTCCTGGGAATCAATCGTAATAATAATAATCATAGCCACAAACAGCAATAAGAAATAATAAAGCGATCACTTTGTGGGACACTGCGCTGTGAGCAATTGGCCGCCTTTGGCCCCCACAGAAAACACAGTCACTTCACTTTGCAGTAACAGTGGCATTTGACCCGGCGCCTCACCGCGTCGCTGAGACGCCTCCAAGCGCTTCGCAGGATTTGCCGTGAAGTGTAGTTGCTGTGTGTTTTTGAGGGTGAAACGCGGCAGCCGATTGCGTCCGGCGACGTCCCCACAGACAGCCGCGGGTTCAGTGACCGCGTTTTTTCTTTTAGAAGGGATTGTTACCCCCGGAAAGCGATCGCCGATCGTTCAACAAGTAATTGTCTGCTGCTAAATAAACAGAGGCGCGCGTGTGTGTGTCTGCGTGTCGGTGTGTTTGTGTGTCTATGTGTGTCTGGTGGGTGTGTGTGTCTGCGTGTGTGTGTGTGTCTGCGCGTGTGTGTCTGCGTGTGGGTGTGTCTGTGTGTTTGTGTGTGTATGTGTGTGTGTGTTTGCGTGTCTGTGTGTGTCTGGTGTCTGCGTGTGTGTATGTGCGTGTCTGTGTGTGTGTCTGCGTGTGTGTGGGTGTGTCTGTGTTTATGTGTGTCTGTGTGTGTCTGGTGTCTGTGTGTGTGTGTCTGCGTGTGTGTGCACGTGTCTGTGTGTATGTGTGTGCATGTGTCTGCGTGTGTGTCTATGTGTGTGTGTGTGTGTGTGTGTGTGTGGAGTAAGGAAACTTCCCTAAGGTTTTGCCCCGACCAGGAATCAAATCTGGGTCCTCTCACTTGCGGGTCGAGGGCTCCAACCCCTGAGCTACAGGACTCCATGAGATGGGATATAAACCGCAGTCAAATACCCCCAATGAGAGAACTGAGATACAATGGTCGTGTTGATAAGGAGATGGGTTCCTGAGCCGGGAGGGGCCGTGGGGTCCCAGGGTACCCACTGCCCGGCCCGGCTCATCGGGAGGACCTGGAAGGGCCGACCAGTCACTGGGGGCAGAGAATCCTCCCCCTCAGCTCCTGTTACCCCCACAGCCAAACCCCCAACTAACTAACTAACGGGGAGGGGGGTCCTCGCTGGACAAGGAGCGGGAAAGCTCGGCCACACAGCGCTCTCTCTCTCTCTCTCTCTCGATGGCTGAGCTGTGTGTGGGTTTAGTTGGTTAGACCCCAACAGTTACCCCCCAACACACACTCTGGGCTCACCCCAAAGCCTTGGCTCTCGCCAACCTGCGCCTAATACTCTCCGGAATTAGGTAATCAGAGGACGTCCCTTCAGGGGGAGAGAGAGAGAGAGAGAGCGCATTCCATCCCAACGATCTCTCTCTGGGGTTTCCGGGTGTGGGGGCGATGTGGGGAATTGTGGAGGATTGTGGAGTCCTGTAGCTCAGTGGTTAGAGCACTCGCTTTGCAAGTGAGAGACCTGAGTTCAATCCCAGGCAGAGGGCGAAACCTTGGGCAAGTTTCCTTACTCCACACAGAGCCTAATAATAATCCCTCCAAAACCAAAAACAATAATAAATTGGTCATTTTCAATCTACGACTGTTTGTGGGACATTGCTGTGTGCAATTGGCTGCCGCGTTCGCCCACAAATATACAGTAAATTCACTTTACAGTGTGTTGTGTGAAGCGCTTTGGGATGTCCTCCCGACGTGAAAAGCGCTATATCAAATGTGAGGATTATTATTATTAATTCTCAGTCGGGTTTGGAGACTCTTAAGCAACGGTGACGGGTTTCCGTGTGTGTCGGACACCCGACCGGTCACGGTGACGGGTTTCCGTGTGTGTCAGACACCCGACCGGTCACGGTGACGGGTTTCCGTGTGTGTCGGACACCCGACCGGTCACGGTGACGGGTTTCCGTGTGTGTCAGACACCCGACCGGTCACGGTGACGGGTTTCCGTGTGTGTCAGACACCCGACCGGTCACGGTGATGGGTTTCCCAATTCAGGAAATCCCTGTGATGTTCATCCCAAATGAAAATGAACCCCTACGTTTCAGTTAAATTGTGAATTGCTTTGATGTATAAACTTCACAGAAGTCGTGTCAGTTTAGGACCAGAACAATTAATATGAACTTACGTCAAGTATGAATCAGGTGAAACTCACATAAGTCCCATCATATATGACTTAGGCAAAGTTGTGTATAAGTCAGATTTAACATGACGTAAACAAATACTGTGTAAACAACAACACACAAGATGTGTACACAGCGCCTCTCATGTCAGGAGGACGTCCCAAGGCACTGGACAGTCAGGGGTTTGGACCCGAGCTGGGGGATGGGATCAGGAGGGGGTGGAGGGTGGGGAGGGTGAGTGTAGGAGGGTGGTCAAGGTGCAGAGGGTCTTGAGACGGATCTTGAAAGAGGCAAAGTAGGGGGCGAGGTGGAGGGACTGCGGGATGGAGTTCCAGAGGGTGGGGGCAGAATGGCTGAAGGCCTGTCCGCCAATAGTCGGGCGAGCGAGGCGGGGGGCGTGAAGCAGGCCGGAGCCCGCTGAGCGGGGGGAGTGAGCAGGATGGTAGGGGGTTAGGGGGTGGCAGAGGTTGGGGGAGCGAGACCATGGAGGGCTTTGAAGGTGAGGACCAGGATCTTGAACTATATCCTCTGTGTGATGGGAAGACAGTGGAGTTGGGCGAGGATGGGGGTGATGGGGTCGGGGAGCCCGGTGGGGGTGAGGATGGGGGTGATGGGGTCGGGGAGCCCGGTGGGGGTGAGGATGGGGGTGATGGGGTCGGGGAGTCTGGTGGGGGTGAGGATGGGGGTGATGGGGTCGGGGAGCCTGGTGGGGGTGAGGATGGGGGTGATGGGGTCGGGGAGCCTGGTGGTGGGGGTGAGGATGGGGGGGATGGGGTCGGGGAGCCTGGTGGGGGTGAGGATGGGGGTGAGGGGGTCGGGGAGCCCGGTGGTGGGGGTGAGGATGGGGGGGATGGGGTCGGGGAGCCCGGTGGGGGTGAGGATGGGGGTGATGGGGTCGGGGAGCCCGGTGGTGGGGGTGAGGATGGGGGTGATGGGGGTCGGGGAGCCCGGTGGTGGGGGTGAGGGTGGGGGTGAGGGGGTGGGGGAGAGGACACGGGCTGCGGAGTTAGTTCTGGATGATGTGCAGCCTGTGGAGGGAGGGGTTGGGGGGCCGACAAGTGGGGGGTTGGGGTAGTCGGGGCTGTGACAATGACAAACGCTGTATAATTGCAAACAATTATTTGGGGAATTGAAACTTACATCAACTCTCTCGGCCGTTCTCCTCATTGAGTGTATTCTGCAAACAACATAAGCCGCATTGTTATAATCATAATAATAATAATCCTAACGTCCTACACTGCGCCTGATCGCCTCTTCGCGACGTCTCAAAGCCCTTCACAGGATAAGCTGTAAAGTGTAGTGACTGTGTGTGTTGTGGGCGAAACCCGGCAGCCGATTGCGCCCCGAGACGTTCCCCCACAAACAGCCGTGGATTGAGCGACCAAATTTATTTATATGCGCAGCCGCCAGTCAACCACAACACAGGCTGTGTAAGCAGAGCACGCGTGTGAGCGAGTGTGTGTGTGAGTGAGTGAGTGAGTGTGTGTGTGTGAGTGAGTGTGAGTGTACGTGAGTGTGTGTGTGAGTGAGTGTTAGTGTATGTGAGTGTGTGTATGTGAGAGTGTGAGTGTATGTGAGTGAGTGTGTGTGTGAGTGTACATGAGTGTGTGTGTGTGTGTGAGTGTACGTGAGTGTGTGTGTGAGTGAGTGTTAGTGTATGTGAGTGTGTGTGTGTGAGTGAGTGTGAGTGTGTGTGAGTGAGTGAGTGTGTGTGTGAGTTTGTGAGTGAGTGTGTGTGTGTCTGAGTGTGTGAGTGTACGTGAGTGTGTGTGTGAGTGAGTGTGAGTGTATGTGAGTGTGTGTGCGTGTGAGAGTGTTAGTGTGTGTGAGTGTGTGTGAATGTGAGTGAGTGTGTGTATGTGAGTGAGTGTGAGTGTACGTGAGTGTACGTGAGTGTGTGTGTGAGTGAGTGTTAGTGTGTGTGAGTGAGTGAGTGTGAGTGTGAGTGAATGTGAGTGTGTGTGTGTGAGTGAGTGTTAGTGTGAGTGAATGTGAGTGTGTGTGTGAGTGAGTGTTAGTGTATGTGAGTGTGTGTGAGTGTGTGTTAGTGTATGTGAGTGAGTGTGAGTGAATGTGAGTGTGTGTGTGTGTGTGTGAGTGAGTGTTAGTGTATGTGAGTGTGTGTTAGTGTATGTGAGTGAGTGTGAGTGAATGTGAGTGTGTGTGAGTGAGTGTGTGTGTGTGTGTATGTGAGTGAGTGTGTGTGTGAGTGAGAGTTAGTGTATGTGAGTGTGTGTAAGTGTATGTGAGTGTGTATGTGTGCGTGAGTGAGTGTGTGTGTGTGTGCGTGTGGGGAGTAAGGAAATTTGCACTAAGGTTTCCCTGACCTGACCGCCTGGGAATCAAACCCGGGTCCTCTCACTTGCGAGACGAGGGCTCAAACCACAATAATAACAACAACAACAATAATAATAACAACAAAAATAATAATAATAACAATAACAATAACAATAATAATAACAATAACAATAATAATAATAATAATAATAATAATAATAATAATAACAACAATAATAATAACAATAATAATAACAATAATAATAACAATAATAATAACAATAATAATAATAATAATAATACTCTGCATTTGATATAGCGCTTTTCCCGTCGGGAGGATTTCCCAAAGCGCTTCACAGAACACACTGTAAAGTGAAGTGACTGTATATTTGTGGGCGAACGCGGCAGCCAATTGCGCACAGCAATGTCCCACAAACAGTCGTAGATTGAAAATGACCAATTTATTATTGTGTTGGTTTTGGAGGATTATTATTAGGCTCTGTGTGGAGTAAGGAAACTTGCCCAAGGTTTCGCCCTCTGCCTGGGGATTGAACTCAGGTCTCTCACTTGCAAAGCGAGTGCTCTAACCACTGAGCTACAGGACTCCGCAAATGAACTATCTCTCTGTCAAATCTTCGTTGCTCCACTGTTGTCGGCCTTCGATGGAGAGATAACGCTTAAAAAAACCCGACTTTATGCCGTTACTGAAAGCTCTCAATAAGACTAAACTACACAAAGTCATTGCTGACGTTCAGAGACCGATTGGGGATAGTTTTCCAGGCGGTTAGTTTCTATCTACAATAAAATACTCATTTACGTTTATATGATAAATTTTGCATTTTGGTAGAGCTCATTATCACGTCTTCGAGACGTCTTCAAAGCGCTTCGCAGAATACACCGTGAAGTGAGAGGTGACTGTGTTTTGTGGCCGATTGTTGTCGTCCGGTTGTTAATACGATAAATTTAAGTGGATTGAAAAGGGAACGTGCAAGAAATATTTATTAAAGAAATCCAAAATATATAATAATACGAATAGTTCGGTCACTCAATCCACGGCTGTTTGTGGGGCCGTCGCCGGGCGCAATTTCGTCCACAAAACACACAGTCGCTACTCTTTGCAGTGTTGTCCCGTGAAGCGCTTTGAGACCTACCGAATGCGCCGGGTCAGTGGCCGGGATTATTATTATTATTATTTGAGAGACACTTACCTGCTCCGCCGGATGAGAATGAGGATGAGGAGAGAGAGACCGGCCACCACCAGCCCGAGCCACGAGTAAACCCCCCACACGGCTCTTACAGCCTCTGGTCCTGCCGAGAAAACGGCAATAGTCAGGGTCAGGTTTGCCAGGAATTGACAAAAGAATGTTTATTGCCCAAATAGTCCTAAATACCAGCCCAAAAGTACCCCCATATTATGCATTGCCGCTGATGGGGAGCAGAGTGGCCAATTCGTAATAATAATAATAATAATAATAATAATAATAATAAAATAATAATATAATAAAATGCTAATATAATAGGATACTAATGTAATAATAAAATAATAATATCATAGAATAATAATAAAACACTAATAGTAATCGTATAATAATAAAATAATAGTAGGTACAATAATTATAATGATGATATAATGATTCCCGCCGGCGGGAGGGTCGGTAACCCGAGGACAGCGATTTAAAATAGTTCTTAAAAGAAACAGAAGAGGTTGATCGGGGCTATGGGGAGAGCGCGGGGGGAGTGGGGTTGATTTTGAAGCTCTTTTCAAAGAACAGCACAGACACGATGGGCCGAATGGCCTCCTCCTGCGCTGTATAATTCTATGATAACCATAATAATAATATAATAATAACGATAATAATCGTTGCATTTGACACAGCGTCTCATCACATCACTGAAACGCCCAAACATGCTTCACAGGACACGCTATAAAGTGTAATGACCGGGTGTTTAGTGGATGACACGCGGCAGCACATTGTGCCCCCAGCGACGTCCCCACAAACAGGTTCCTACTGACGGCCGGTGAGCAGAGGCGTGTGTGTGTGTGCGTGCGCGTGTGTGTCTATGTGTCTGTGTGTGTATATGTGTGTGTGTGTGTGTGTGAGAGTGTGTGCGCGTCTGTGTGGGTGCATCTATGTGTGTGTGTGTGTGTGTGCGTCTGTGTGGTTGTGTCTGTGTGCGTATATGTGTGTGGGTGCATTTGTGCGCGTGGGTCTGTGTGTGAATATACGTGTGGGTGCATTTGTGTGTGTGTGTGGGGTGGGGGGGGGGGGGAGTAAGGAAACTTGCCTAAGGTTTCGCCCCGACCTGACCCGCCCGGGAATCGAACTCAAGTCCTCCGGCTGGCGAGGCGAGGGGTCTAACCCCTGAGCTACAGGGGCTGTGGGGTGGGGGGCGAGGGGTCTAACCCCTGAGCTACAGGGGCTGTGGGGTGGGGGGCGAGGGGTCTAACCCCTGAGCTACAGGGGCTGTGGGGTGCGAGGGGAGGGGTCTAACCCCTGAGCTACAGGGGCTGTGGGGTGTGAGGGGAGGGGTCTAACCCCTGAGCTACAGGGGCTGTGGGGTGCGAGGGGAGGGGTCTAACCCCTGAGCTACAGGGGCTGTGGGGTGCGAGGGGGGGGTCTAACCCCTGAGCTACAGGGGCTGTGGGGTGCGACACGAGGGCTGTAACCCCTGAGCTACAGGGGCTGTGGGGTGCGAGGGGAGGGGTCTAACCCCTGAGCTACAGGGGCTGTGGGGTGCAGGGGGGGGTCTAACCCCTGAGCTACAGGGGCTGTGGGGTGCGAGGCGAGGGGTCTAACCCCTGAGCTACAGGGGCTGTGGGGTGGGGGGCGAGGGGTCTAACCCCTGAGCTACAGGGGCTGTGGGGTGCGAGGCGATGGGTCTAACCCCTGAGCTACAGGGGCTGTGGGGTGGGGGGCGAGGGGTCTAACCCCTGAGCTACAGGGGCTGTGGGGTGCGAGGCGATGGGTCTAACCCCTGAGCTACAGGGGCTGTGGGGTGGGGGGCGAGGGGTCTAACCCCTGAGCTACAGGGGCTGTGGAGTGCGAGGCGATGGGTCTAACCCCTGAGCTACAGGGGCTGTGGGGTGCGAGGGGAGGGGTCTAACCCCTGAGCTACAGGGGCTGTGGGGTGCGAGGGGGGGGGGGTCTAACCCCTGAGCTACAGGGGCTGTGGGGTGCGAGGGGGGGGGGGGTCTAACCCCTGCAGATTAATTTAGGTTTGTGCTTTTGAAACCGTGTAAGAAATGGGCTTCGAAGTACCTTTGCCCTGAAAACCTCCCAATAAAATTCACCCGAACGACCACACAAAAAAAAAGTAATAATTCGGTCACTTCAACCCACGGCTGTTTGTGGGGACGTCGCCGGGGGCGCAAATTGGCTGCCGCGTTTGGCCCGCAAAACACACAGTCACTACACTTTACAGTGTGTCCTGTGAAGCACTTTGAGATGTCTCAAGCACATGATGAGATGCTGCATCAAATGCCAGGATTATTATTATTATTATTATTATTATTATTATTATTATTATTATTATTATTATTATTATTATTATTATTATTATTATTATTATTATTATTATTATTATTATTATTATTATTATTATTATTATTATTATAACGGCTCAGTTTAACATCTCATCTGATCGCCGACCCCTCTTTATGTGAATTATTGTGAGTTGAAGATCCTGACCCGAGGGCTTGAACCCCACAACTTTCCGAGTCAGAGGCGAGACCCGAACCAACCCCACACCACCCCCGACAAACCTCCCAAAATACAACTATTTCCTGACCGTGTGTGAGAGACGCAATTCGCCGACAAAAATACACTGCTCACCAGGCAATGACAACCACAAAGCACTGAGGTGTCCTGTAGCTCAGGGGTTAGACCCCCCCCTCGCACCCCACAGCCCCTGTAGCTCAGGGGTTAGACCCCCACCCTCGCACCGCACAGCCCCTGTAGCTCAGGGGTTAGACCCCCCCCCTCGCACCCCACAGCCCCTGTAGCTCAGGGGTTAGACCCCTCCCCTCGCACCCCACAGCCCCTGTAGCTCAGGGGTTAGACCCCCCCCCTTGCACCCCACAGCCCCTGTAGCTCAGGGGTTAGACCCCCCCCCTCGCACCCCACAGCCCCTGTAGCTCAGGGGTTAGACCCCCCCCCCGCACCCCACAGCCCCTGTAGCTCAGGGGTTAGCCCCCTCCTCGCCTCGCACCCCACAGCCCCTGTAGCTCAGGGGTTAGACCCCCCCCCTCGCACCCCACAGCCCCTGTAGCTCAGGGGTTAGACCCCCCCCCTCGCACCCCACAGCCCCTGCAGCTCAGGGGTTAGACCCCTCGCCTCGCACCCCACAGCCCCTGTAGCTCAGGGGTTAGACCCCCCCCTCGCCCCCCAACCCACAGCCCCTGTAGCTCAGGGGTTAGACCCCTCCCCTCGCACCCCACAGCCCCTGTAGCTCAGGGGTTAGACCCCTCGCCTCACAAGCCAGAGGACCTGGGTTCGACTCTCAGGCAGGTCAGGTTAGTCCCCCCACACACACAGACACACACACACACAGAGACACACAAACAGAGACACACAGACACACACAGACAGAGACACACAGACAGACACACGCACACCTCTGTTTACAGCAGTAAGTAGGAACCTGGTTGTTAGTTGATTGCAGATCATTTTCTGGGGGTAATAATCCCTTCAAAAAAAATTAGGTCACTTAATCCACGACTGTTTGTGGGACGCAAATGGCTGCCACGTTTCGCCCACAAAATACACAGTCACTACACTTTACAGTATATTCCGTGAAGCGCTTTGAGACGTCTTGAAGACGTGATGAGGCGCGATATCAAATGCAAGGATTATTATTATTATTATTTCAATAAAACACAAACCAATGCAGAGAGACATTGAAACCAATTCAAAGGGGAATCGGATATATTCACTTCTTGAAAAAAGTTGCTGGACTATGGGGTAAGAACGGGGAGTGGGGGCGAGTTGGGGTAAGTGTGGGGGTGTGGGACTATTTGGGGTAAGAGTGGGGACTAGTTGTGATAAGAGTGGGGGAGTGGGGCTAGTTGGGGTAACAGCGGGGGGAGTGGGGCTATTGGGGTAACAGCGGGGGGAGTGGGGCTAGTTGGGGTAACAACGGGGGAGTGGGGCTAGTTGGGGTAACAGCGGGGGGAGTGGGGCTAGTTGGGGTAACAGCGGGGGGAGTGGGGCTAGTTGGGGTAACAGCGGGGGGAGTGGGGCTAGTTGGGGTAACAGCGGGGGGAGTGGGGCTAGTTGGGGTAACAGCGGGGGAGTGGGGCTAGTTGGGGTAACAGCGGGGGAGTGGGGCTAGTTGGGGTAACAGCGGGGGAGTGGGGCTAGTTGGGGTAAGATTGGGGGGAGTCGGACTAGTTGGAAGCTCTTACAAAGAGCCGGCACAGGAACCATGGGCCGATTGGCCTCCTCCTGTTCTGTAAGATTGTATGAATCTATGACTCTAAAATAATAATAATAATAATAATCCTGGCATTTAACACATGCCTTTGAGGCGTCCGAAAGTGCTTCACAGAATATACCGTAAAGTGTAGTGACTGTGTATTTTGTGGGTGAAACACGGCAGCCAATTGTCCCCACAAACCCTTGCGGATTGAGTGACCAAATTATTATTATTTATTGATTTATTCTGAAGGGAATATTACCCTCTGGAAAACGTTCCCACTGATCGACGAAGAGGGTTCCTGCTTATTGCTGCTAAACAGAGGCTCGTGTGTGTCTATGTGTGTGTCTGTGTGTGTGTGTGTGGAGGGGTGGGGGTGTGGGTGGGGGTGTGGGGAGGGGTTGTGGGGGGTAAGGAAACTTGCCTAAGATTTTGCCCTGACCTGACCCCCCCCCGGGAATCGAACCTCTGGCTCGCGAGGCGAGGGGTCTAACCCCTGAGCTACAGGGCTCCGAAGGTACCTGTGACCAGTGCAGAATAATACAATAAGCGGTGGATAACACACAGGGGATGGATCGATGGATCGATCGATGGATTGATTGATTGATCGATGGATTGATTAATAATAATAATAATAATCCTTGTATTTGATATAGCGCTTTTCACGTCGGGAGAACGTCCCAAAGTGCTTCGATTGATTGATTGATTGATTAATTGATTGATTAATTGATTGATTGACTGTACCTGCTTGTCCCAATGTCACGTTGGCACACTGTTCCAGGCTGCCCGAGGGGTAGGTGGTGTATTTACAGCAGTAGATGCCCTGGTTCTCCTGACTCGGGTTGATGACGATACCCGTTTCCGAGGAGGAAAGTTGCCTGAACTGGATTTGCAGCCCCGAGACATTGGGGTAATTGACTCCGTACTTTGGGTGGAAGATGGCGATCGCTTGGCTCCCGTTGATGGTTCTGGTCCAGTCGATCTGAACCGTTGAATCGTTCCCTTCGAACCGGCAGAGGATCAGCACCTCTGCCCCCACCCTCACCTCGATCCCAAGTTTGCTGGCGGAGTTCCCTGAAGGCAGGACCGAGAGCAATGGATGAACAATAAGTTAACGCTTTGAGACGTCTGTTAATAACTCGACAGGTGACGGTAAGAGTATAATAATAATAATAATTCTTGCATTTGATTTGGAACTTTTCACGTCTTCTAGACGTCTCAAAGCGCTTCACAGGATGGTCTGTAAAGTGTAGTGACTGTATATTTGTGGGCGAAACGCGGCAGCCAGTTGCGCACAGCAGCGTCCCGCTGACAGCTGTGGATCGAAGCGACCAATTTTATTATTGTTTTTTTTTTCTGGAGGGATTATTATCAGGCGAACGTGTGAGTGTGTGGAGTAAGGAAGTTTGCCCAAGGTTTCGCCCAACCCGGGTCTCTCGCTTGCGAGGCGAGGGCTCGGACCACTGAGCTCCAGGGCTCCTACCGTTTACCTTTTACCGTTTGTCTTACATAATAAACGCAGTAATAGCGTTGACTGTATCAACACGCATACAACAACAACAACAACAATATTCCATTTATAGAGCGCCTTTCACGTTGGGAGGACGTCCCAAGGCGCTGGACTGTTGGGTCGGGACCCGAGCATTGAGGGGGGAAATGGTCAGTGTGAGGGGAGGGAGGGGAGGGAGGGAGCGAGGAGGGGGTAGAGAGTCGAGAGTGGAGCTGAAGGCTGAAGGTCAAAGAGAAAGGTCTTGAGACCGGCCTTGAAGGAGGAAAGGGAGGAAGCGGCGAAGGCACTGGGGATAGAGTTCCAGAGCCTCGGGGCTGAGAGGCTGAAGGCCACCGATGGTCGGGCGGTTGGGGCGGGGGGTGTGGAGCAGACCGGAGCCAGAGAAACGGAGGGCACGGTGGGGTACGTGGGGGGATAGTAGGTCGGAGAGATAGGAGGAAGCGAGGCCGGGAATGGCCTCATAGCTGAGAATGAGGATCTTGAATCTTGAAGACAGAACCGAAAACGTTACCTAATATACGTCCTCTTTCGCTTTTAATGGTCACTTTTTTACTGGAGGTAACTCCCCACACCCACCCTGTGCATAACAGGTCAAATCGCTATGGATTGCACAGGGAAGTCCACTGACCCTCTCCTCAACTCCCAACTGTTCCAAAGCTCCAACTCCATCCTTTATCTGTTTCTAACTCCATCTCTCCCGGCGCAGAGATAGCCCCCAACCCTTCGCAACCTGCTTTGCAGAGCGAGAGAGAGAGAGAGAGAGAGAAATACGGACAACTTCTGTCTGAGGCTACATCCCTTTTTTTTTTCTGCGGTCGATTGTTCTTACATCGGTGGCTCACGATCGCTCACTCCCTCAGAGGAGTGAACATCTTCTCAGGAAAACGTGGAATGCAATCAGACGCTCGACTCGTCCAGCAAACGCGACCTTTAACCATTTATGTTCATCCTTGCAATTGACACAGCACCTCATTACCTCTTCGAGGCGTCTCAGAGCGCTGCGCAGGATGCACTTTAAAGTGAATCGACCGTATATTCGTGGGGGGAACGCGGCAGCCAATCGCGCACAGCAGCGTCCCCACAAACAGCCGTGGATTGAAGATGACCGATTTATTATTATTATTTTTTTTTTTTTGCTTGAGGGATTACTCTCAGGCGTGTTTTGTGGAGGAAGGAAACTGGCCCAAGGCTGCGCCCCGACCTGCCGGGAACCGAACTCAGGTCTCTCGCTTGCGAGGCGAATGCTCCAGGGCTCCATTTTAACTGTCACACCTTCTGGGACGTTCGGTCGCTGTTTGAAATGTGCCGCTGCGGTGATAGTCAATATACTTCAACGCGTCTAAGCTACGTGATAAGGCGCTATATCAAATGCAAGGATTATTATTATATTATTACACACAAAAGTTGCCACACATCAATTCACGACTGTTTTGTGGGGGACGCCACTGAGTGCAATCGGCTGCCGCGTTTCGCCCACAAAATACACAGTCGCTACACTTTGCAGCGTCTTCGGAGAAGCGCTTTGAGACGTCGTGAAGACGTGGTAAGGCGCTGCATCAAATGCAAGGAATATTTCTTTTATCATTGCATCAAAGTCGTTCATTAGCGCTGAGAGTGTTCGCAGACGTGAGTCATCGATCGTACAAACATAACAGTTTCCTCAGCAAAAGAAGTTCCATCCAGTTCGCCTCGCACAATCCCGGCAGTCTCAAAGCGCGTCACAGAATAATAATAATAATAATAATAATAATCCTTGCGTTTGATATAGCGCTTTTCACGTCTTCGAGACGTCCCACAGAGCTTCACAGAATAGACTGTAAAGTGAATTGACTGTCTAGTTTGTGGGCGACCATTTGTGCACGGCAGCGTCCCACACACAGCCGTGGATTGTGTGACCAAATTATATTTTATTTTTTAGGGGATTGTTACCCCCGGAAAGTTTCCTACTAACTGCTGGTAACCAGAGGCGCGCGTGTGCGTGTGTGTGTGTGTGCGTGTGTGTGTGTGGGTGTGCGTGTGTGTGCGTGTGTGTGCGTGTGTGTGTGTGTGTGCGTGTGTGTGGGTGGAATAAGGAAACCTGTCTAAGGTTTCACCCTGACCTGACCTGACCCGCTCGGGAATTGAACCCGGGTCCTCTGGCTCGCGAGGCGAGGGCTCCAACCACTACCCGACAGGGCTCCGGTGTTTCCCTGGCAGTAATCCCTTCAAAATTAATTTAAAAAAGCCGTAATAATAAGTTTGTCACTAAATCCACGACCGTTTGTGAGGATGTCGCTGGGCACAATTGGCCGCCACACCTTTCCCACAAAAATACACAGTCACCACACTTTTCAGGTGTGCCTGCGAAGCGCTTTGAGACGTCTCCAGGAGGTGATCAGGCCTCTATATCGAATGCAAGGATCAATAGGACGATTAATATATCCTTTCCCCCGGCCGGCCGGCCGCCCCCTCCCAAAAGAAATGCAATGCACTCACCGGTTTTCGGGGACAGAATTAAGACAAGTACCAAATAGTGGAGGATTTGACGTGACATTGTGTCTGAGGATCTGGGACGCAGAGCTATCGCTGTCGTGTACCTCACTGCGAGTCTGGGCTGAGTGGAGATTGACGTGTTTCCTCTGTGGTTTAGTGTTGAGTTTGCTGGGTTCCATAATGAGAAAACAGTTCTCTTTCCACCGGCAAACCCGAGTCTCTATAAACAACAAAAACTGGGGGCGGAGGCAAAACTGTTATCTTTGTACGTGAATTGGTATTTAAATGTCACGAAAGATATCATCATTGTCTTTTGCTAAACCGCACGGTGTCAGCTTGGATGAGTTGGTTAACACTTTTGCCTCTATATTCAGAACTCTGCAGCTCATGTCCTCTCCTCTGCACTCAACTCCGTGAGCCGATAGAATGGTAATAATAATCCTTGCGTTTGGTTTCGCACCTTATCGTATCGTGTTGTGGACTCCCTACCAACCTGTCCGCTCCCTCCACCCGGCTGGCTCCGGCCTGACCAACACCCCCCGCCCCGCCCCGCCCCGCCCGGCCCTGCCCACCCTCCCATCAGCAGTCAAGCTTCAGCCTCTCTGCCCCCACCCTCTGGAACTCCATCCCTCGGTCCCTCCACCTCACCCGCTCCCTCGCCTCCTTCAAGACCTGTCTCAGGACCCTCCTCTTCAATCAACCGCGCCTTCGGTCAACCTCCAACCCCCCCCCAACCCCCAACCACCCCTCCCTGCCCTCCTGGTGACAAACCCCAGCTTAGGTGAAAATTCCTGACTGTCCAACGCCTTGGGACGTCCTCCTGACATGAAAGACGCTGTGTGAGTGTCAGGTTGTTATGGTCCTTCAAATGTTAAACCAAGATGGGGTCTGTCTGCTCAGTAGACACCGAAGATCCCATAATGTATTTGAAGAGAAGGGATTATTTATTGTATAATAATCACGGAACACACACATGCGGACATTATTTGACACAACTCATGTGTGCGTGTACGGTGAGATAACACGTAAGAATCCTTGCATTTGATATAGGAACTTTCTGATCGGGTGGACATCTCAAAGCACTGCACAGGATACACTTTAAAGTGTAGTAACTATTGTAGCTGACACTCGACAGACGGTACGCACCCTGGAATGTCCCACAAACAGCCATGGGCCAAATTTATTTGGGAGATTGTTGACCAGGACATTGGGAGAGAGAATCTGGCTCCTCTTTTCAAATAGTGCCATGGTTTAACGTCTCATCTGAAAGACGGTACCTCCAATGCAGTATTCCAAAGCCAGTCTGGAACCTTGGTGTCTTGTTTGACCCTCAACTATCCTTTCTACCGCACATCTGCGCCATGACCTGCTCTGCCTTCCCCACCTCCGCCCGGCTCCGCCACTGTCTCACACCGCAGGCCACCGAGACCCTCATACACACCTTCATTACATCCAGGCTCGACTATGTAAACTCCCTGCTTGTTGGCCTCCCCAACTCCTCCCTCCACACGTTGCAGATCATCCCGAACTCTGCAGCCCGTGTCCTCTCCCGCCCCAGGCTCCGTGACCCCATCACCCCCATCCTCGCCCGACTCCACTGGCTTCCCCTCACACAGAGTTCAAGATTCTGGTCCTCACCTTCAAAGCCCTCCATGGTCTCACTCCACCCGACCTCTGCCACCTCCTAACCCCCTACTATCCTGTTCGCTCCCTCCGCTCAGCGGGCTCTGGTCTGCTTGGCGTCCCCACCTAACCCACCTCACAATTAGTGGGTGCATTTTGTGCCACTCTGCCCCCCTCCCCCCTCCTGCCAGGATAGTACCAGGAATGAGGGACTTCAGTTATCAGGAGAGGCGAGAGAAGCTGGGATTAATCTCCTTGGAGCAGAGAAGGTTAAGAGGAGACTTAAAAGAAGTTTTCAAAATTATGAGGGGATTCGATAGGGTGAACACGAGAAACTACTCCCACTGGCGGGTGGGTCGGTAACCCGAGACACTAAAATAGTTGTTAAAAGAAACAGAGGGGAGGTGAGGAGAAATGTTTTCACAGCGAGTTGTTGGGATCTGGAATGCGTTGCCTGAAAGGCTGGTGGAAATAACAACTTTTAAGAGAGAAGCAGATAATTATTTGGGGAGGACAAGTTTGCAGAGCTATGGGGAGAGAGCGGGGGAGTGGGGTTGATCAGGGCTATAATAATAATAATAATCTTTGCATTTGATATAGCGCTTTTCAAGTCGGGAGGACGTCTCAAAGCGCTTCACAGAATATACTGTAAAGTGAATTGACTGTATATTTGTGGGCGAACGCGGCAGCCAATTGCGCACAGCAATGTCCCACAAACAGTCGTGGATTGAAAATGACCAATTTATTATTGTTTTTGGTTTTTGAGGGATTATTATTAGGCTCTGTGTGGAGTTAGGAAACTTGCCCAAGGTTTCGCCCTCTGCCTGGAATTGAACTCAGGGCTCCCGCTTGCAAAGCGAGTGCTCTAACCACTGAGCTACAGGACTATGGGGAGAGCGCAGGGGAGTGAGGTTGATTTGGAAGCTCTTTTCAAAGAGCCGACATAGACACGATGGGCCGAATGGCCTCCTTCTGTGCTGTATAATTCTATGATAACAATAATAATAATATAATAACGATGATAATCCTTGCATTTGACACAGCGTCTCATCACATCACTGAAACGCCCAAACATGCTTCACAGGACACGCTATAAAATGTAATGACCGTGTGTTTTGTGGATGAAAAGCAAGCAGCCAATTGTGCCCCCAGCGACGTCCCCACAAACAGTCGTGGTGTGAAGTGAAGAGATTATTATTATCCCAGGAAAATGATTCCTCCAATCGTCCAACAACCAGGTTCCTACTGACGGCCGGTGAGCAGAGGCGTGTGTGCGTGTGTGTGTGTGTGTATATGTGTCTGTGTGTGTGTATGTGTGTGGGTGCGGGGGTGGGATTGACTTGGAGGCTGGCCCCCCCCCACTCTGAGACCGTCAGAGAGTCTTGAGATGGGTCTTGAAGGAAGGACGGTGCTTTATAAAAGTTAATCACAACCACTGTGGCCAGTCAGCCAACTACAGGGCAAGGAATGAGTGGCTCCCAAGTGCTCCTTTACCAAGATGGCGGCTCCTTTACCACGATGGCGCACCGCACCCGCCCAGGCGCAGTTCCTTTAGCAAGATGGCCGCCGCAGGGTGCGGGTCACGTGTCGGTGCAGGGCGACCGGTGATTGGCCGGGTCGGGAGAAGGCGGGAAGGGGTTGGTTGGAGGAGCGAGATGGCGGCGAACGGGATGGAAGTGGAGCCGGCGGGTGAGCGAGGGGGCGAGGGAGGGGCCAACGGGACCGGGGACGAGTGGGGGAGGGGGGGGGGCAACCGCGGTGGGGGTAACGGTCTCCGTTCGGGAGGCGGTAGGAGCCGTTATCGACCTCTCCCCGGCGGCGCGTCGGTCGCCATGGCGCCGGCTCCAGGCCTCAACCAACCCCCCCCCCGAGGGGAGGGTCCCCCCTTCCCACCTGCTGATTGGTTGATCACTCTGCGGCCGCGGATTTCGATTGGCCGGCGCGTCCGTCAGTCAGAGCGCCGAGACCCCGTGATTGGCCGGGAGGTCCGTCAGTCAGCACGGCCGCGGGGCGCGATGGGAGTGGGGGCGCCCGCCCCCCCCACCTCGCCCGCCGATTGGCCGGCGCGTCCGTCCGTCGGAGCTGCCCTGCGCAGGGATTGGCCGAAGCGGCTGTCGCTCCGATGTGGCTGTGTTTGCCCCGCCCCCTTCCGCTCGCTGCTCTGTGCTCAGGGCCACAGTGTGTGAGAGATGTCACTCACGTGCTTCACAGACCCCCCCACTCCCCCTCCCTCCCACCCCACTACCCCCCACTCCCACCCCACTACCCCCCACTCCCACCCCACTCCCCCAGTCTCCCCCCATAGCCCTGATCAACCCCACGCCCCCACTCTCTCCCCATAGCCCTGATCAACCCCACTCCCCCGCTCTCTCCCCATAACTCTGCAAACTTGTCGTCCCCAAATAATTATCTGCTTCTCTCTTAAAAGCGGTTATGGAAGCGGTTCCCATCGGCCTTTCAGGCGACGCATTCCAGACCCCAACAGCTCACTGTGTGAAAACATTTCTCACTTCCCCTCTGTTTCTTTTAACCACTATTTTAAATCGGTGCCCTCGGGTTACTGACCCCCCGTCAGTGGGAATAGCTTCTCCTCGTTCACTATCGAATCTCCTCGTTATTTTGAAAACCTCTATTAAGTCTCCTCTTAACTTTCTCTGCTCCGAGGAGACTAATCCCGGCTTCTGTCGCCTCTCCTGATAACTGAAGCCCCTCATTCCTGGTACCATTCTGGTCAATCTCCTTTGTACCCTCTCCAATGCCTTGACATCCTTCCTAAAGTGTGGGGCCCAGAACTGAACCCAGTCTCTCGCTGAGGCCCAAATAACGCTGTATAAAGATTCATCATAACTTTATTATATTAATAATAATAATCTTCACATTTGATACAGCGCCTTATCGAGACGTCTCAAAGCGCTTCACAGGACACACTGTAAAGTGTAGTGACTCTGTATTTGTTGGGAGTCCTGTAGCCTAGTGGTTTGAGCACTTGCTTCGCAGGCGAGCGGACCTGGGTCGATTCCCATAGGAGTCAGGGCAAAAGCTTTGGCAAGTTTCCCTGACACACACACACACACACACACACACGCGCCTCTGTTTACTTAGCAATAAGTAGTAACCCACTTGTTAGTCGATTGGCGGATTGCTTTCCCTGTTGTAATGATCAGTGACTTCCATTTGTAAAGTGTCTTTCACGTCGGGAGGATGTCCCAAGACACTGATCTTCATTACATTGGTCACTCACTCAACGACTGTTTGTGGGGACGTTGCTGTGCACCATTGGCTGCCGCGTTTCGCCCACAAAATACACAATCACCGTACTTCACAGTGTATCCTGTGAAGCGCTTTGAGTCCTCTCAATGACGTGATGAGGCGCGGGGTCAAATGCAAGGATTATTATTATTAATATAACACTGTCATCATAATAGCTGATGAATTTCATCCCAGGTACTTGAATTCTCCCTGCCCACCCTCCAAGGTTAGGGACTGTGGGATGGAGTTCCAGAGGGTTGGGGGCGGAGAGGCTAAAGGTATGACTGCCGAAGGTGGGGCTGTCGAGGCGGTGGGTGTGGAGCTAGAGCGGTGGGCCAGAGCCCGATGAGCGGAGGGAGCGGACAGGTTGATATGGGGTTAGCAGGTCACAGAGGTAGTAAGGAGCCTTGGAGGGATCTGAAGGCGACAACCAGATCTTGAACTGTATCCTCTGTGTGATGGGAAGCCAGTGAAGTCGGGCGAGGATGGGGGTGATAGGGTCACAGAGCCTGACGCAGGAGAGGACGCGGGGTGCAGAGTTCTGGATGATTTGGTGGAGGGAGGAGTTGAGTGGCGAGCAGGGAGATGGCATATGGGCGCGATGAGGGTCTCGGTGGGCTGAGGAGAGGCAGCGACTGAGCCGGGGCGATGTTGCGGAGGTGGGGGGAAGCCAGAATGGTGTGGAATGGCACAGTTTTGGAAAGTGTGAAAAATTACCTGGGAAGTAGGGATGGAGAGTGAGTGAGTGAGTGAGTGAGTGAGTGTCACTCACACTCATCTTCAAATCCCTTCACAACCTGCACCTCCCCACCTCTCCAACCTGTTTACGCCCTAATCTTCTGCATCAACTCGGCCGGCTCCGGCCTCCTACAAGTTCCTCATCCCCTCCATTCCACTATTGGTGGTCACGCCTGTAGCTCAGTGGTTAGATCACTCGCTTCAGGGTAATAGTCCCTCCAAAACAGTCAATTCACTTTACAGCGTGTTCTGTGAAGCGCATTGGGACGTCCTCCCGACGTGAAAAGCGCTATATCAAATGCAAGGATTATTATTATTATTATAGATGTTTGTTAGGTCGGGGTATCAAGGGACATGGGGCATCGGCGGGTAATTGGAGTAGAGGTACAGATCAACCATGATCTAATAGAATGGCAGAACTGGCTTGAGGGGCTGAAAGGCTTCCTCCTGTACCTATGTTCCTGCTAAACACAGCAAGTGATGAGCTCTCACTGTATCCTCAGACTCCGTAGCAAAGTAGGCAGCGCTTTCAGCCATTACCCCCGAAACTCTCTCCCTCGACCCTCCGCCTTGCCCCTTCCTTCCCCATCTTCAGGTCGCCCCGAAGACTTTCCTCTTCGCCCGGGGCCTACGGTCACCTCTTCCGGGCTCAGCGTTGTGTCCCGTCTCAGTTAAACGCTGCCCTGTGTGAGTGGCGCGATGTAAATGCAAGTTGCTGTTGTTGTTGCATGCTGCTGTGAGGGGCGTGGGAGGGTGGCTGTATGAGGGTCTCTGCACACAGGTGGTTTTGGAGACTGAAACTCTCTCTCTCTCTCTCTCTCTCTCTCTCCTTGTCCCGGCAGCAACGCCGAGTGTCATGGCCTCTGGGGTCACGGGCAGCGTCTCAGTGGCCTTACACCCCCTCGTGATTCTCAACATCTCCGACCACTGGATCCGAATGCGCTCCCAGGAGGGACGACCCATCCAAGGTACCCGTGGGGGACAGAGACGCAGAGTCCCGGAGCATTAGTGGTTATAGCGCTCGCCTCGCAAGCGAGAGAATCCAGGTTAAATTCCCAGGCGGGTCGGGGTGAAACCTTAGGCAAGTTTCCTTACACTGCACACACACACACACACACGGCTCTGTTTACCAGCAGTAAGTAGGAACCCGCTTGTTAGTCAATTGGTGGAATGCTTTTCCAGGGGTAAATATCCCTCCAAATAAGTAAATAATAATAATTTGGTCACTCAATCCACGACTGTTTGTGGGGACGCTGCTGTGCACAATTGGCTAAATTGTTTCGCCCACAAAATATACAGTCAATTCACTTTACAGTGTACCCTGTGATGCGCTTTGAGACGTCTCAAAGATGTGATAAAACGCCGGGTCAGAATTAAGGATTATTATTTCTTGTATTATTATTAGGATTATTATTATTTGTGTTCCAGTGATCGGGGCGCTGATTGGCAAGCAGGAAGGCCGGAACATCGAGGTGATGAACTCATTCGAGTTGCTGTCTCACTCAGTGGAGGAGAAAATTGTCATCGACAAGGAATATTACTACACCAAGGAGGAGCAGTGTGAGTAGAGGCAGGGAATCCTCCCACCCAACTCCCGCTAACTCTACAGCCAAAGCCGTCACTAACTAACGAACTAACTAACTAACTAACGGGGAGGGGGGTCCTCGCTGGACAAGCAGCGGGAAAGCTCGGCCAGACAGCGCTCTCTCTCTCTCTCTCTCTCTCGATGGCCGAGCTGTGTGTGGGTTTAGCCGGTTAGACCCCAGCAGTTACCCCCCAACGCACACTCTGGGCTCCCCCCAAAGCCTTGGCTCTCGCCAACCTGCGCCTAATACTCTCCGGAATTAGGTAATCAGAGGGCGTCCCTCCAGGGGGAGAGGGAGAGAGAGAGCGCATTCCATCCCAACGATCTCTCTCTGGGGTTTCCGGGTGTGGGGGGATGTGGGGAATTCTCAGTCGGGTTTGGAGACTCTTAAGCAACGGTGACGGGTTTCCGTGTGTGTCGGACACCCGACCGGTCACGGTGACGGTTTCCGTGTGTGTCAGACACCCGACCGGTCACGGTGACGGGTTTCCGCGTGTGACAAACACTCGTCCGGTCACAGTGACGGGTTTCCGTGTGTGACAGATACCCGGCTGGGCAAAAAAATAGAGGCATCAACAAGAACAACTTGCATTTATACAGAGCCCCTCACACAAGGTAGCGTCATAGAGCGTCTGACAGATGGCGGGGAGTGGGGAGGTTACGGTAAGCGCGGTCGAAGAGGACGGTCTTCAGGAGCGACCTGTAACAGGGGAGGGAGGGGTAAGGTGGAGGGGAGGCCTGGACATGACTTGTGTTCATCGTGAGCAGTGACATGGGTGTGCTTTGTTACACGTGTGGGGGTACAATATAATCATGTGTATGCGTGTGTTTGTGTCCACTGCCTCCGCTCAGCGGGCTCCGGCCTGTTCCACATCCCCCGCCCCCCCCCGCCATCTGCGGTCGCGCCTTCAGTCTCTCTGCCCCCACCCTCTGGAACTCCATCCCACATTCCCTCCCCCCCTTGCCCCCTTCCTTGCCAGTCTCAAGACCCTCCTCTTCGACCGCGCCTTCGGTCACCCTCCTACCCCAACCCTCCCCGCCTTCCACCCCCTCCTGATTCCAACCCCCAGCTCAGGTCCAAACCCCTGACTGTCCAGCGCCTTGGGACGTCCTCCTGACGTGAAAGGCTCCGTTAAACACAAGGATTGCTACCCCCTGACGTTGAAATTTCTCTCCAGTTAAACAGGTTTTCAAAGATATGGAGTTTCTGGGCTGGTACACAACCGGAGGTCCTCCTGACGAGTCTGACATTCACGTCCACAAACAGGTAATAATAATAATAATAATAATCCTTGCATTTGACACAGCGCCTTATCACACCTTCGAGACGTCTCGAAGGGCTTCACATATTATACTGTAAAGTGTAGTGACTGTATTTTGTGGGCGAAACACAGCAGCCAATTGCGCACAGCAGTGTCCCCACAAACGGGTTATTACGCCCCCAGAAAAGCGATCAACTAACAAGCGGGTTTCTACTGACTGCTGGTAAGCAGAAGCCGTGTGCGTGCGCGTGTGTGTAGTAAGGAAACTTGCCTAAGGTTTCTCCCTGATCCGCCCGGGAATCGAACCCGGGTCCTCTCTCGCTTGCCAGGCGAGGGCTCTAACCACTGAGCTCCAGGGACACCACTTCACTCGTTTGTACTCCACACGTGTCTACACGCTGCAAGTGAACGAATCGATAAAGAAGGCAAGGGTTCTATTTTTTTGAGTATTTTAATCAGTTTAGGAAATTTAACGGTTGTTAGTCGATTGGCGGATCGCTTTCCAGGGGTAATAATCTCCTGTCCAAAACAAATAATAATAATAATAAATTGGTCACTCAATCCACGATTGTGGGACGTCGCTGGGTTTCGCCCACAACATATACAACCAATTCACTTTACAGTGTGTCCTGTGAAGCGCTTTGAGACGTCTCGAAGACGCGATAAGACGCTGTATCAAATGCCAGGATGATTTACCACAAATGAATTTGCTCGGGTACAATGCCTTGGCTTTGCATCAATGAAATTCCTGACTCCCTCCTCTCCCTTCTATTCCCTTCTCCCTCGTGTGTCTCGCTTCCTCTTCAATACATCTGGAGTCCCGTAGTGTAGTGGTTAGAGCACTCGCCTCGTAAGCTAAAGGGTAGAGTCCTGCACAAGCAGCGGGAAAGCTCGGCCAGACAGCGCTCTCTCTCTCTCTCTCTCTCTCTCGATGGCTGAGCTGTGTGTGGGTTCAGTTGGTTAGACCACAGCAGTTACCCCCCAACACACACTCTGGGCTCCCCCAAAGCCTTGGCTCTCGCCAACCTGCGCCTAATACTCTCCGGAATTAGGTAATCAGAGGGCGTCCCTCCAGGGAGAGAGAGAGAGAGAGCGCATTCCATCCCAACGATCTCTCTCTGGGGTTTCCGGGTGTGGGGGCGATGTGGGGAATTCTCAGTCGGGTTTGGAGACACTTAAGCAACGGTGACGGGTTTCCGTGTGTGTCAGACACCCGGTCGGTCACGGTGACGGGTTTCCGTGTGTGTGTGACAGACACCCGACCGGTCACGGTGACGGGTTTCCATGTGTGTCGGACACCCGACCGGTCACGGTGACGGGTTTCCGTGTGTGTCAGACACCCGACCGGTCACGGTGACGGGTTTCCGTGTGTGTGTGACAGACACCCACCGGTCACGGTAGACGGGTTTCCGTGTGTGTGTCAGACACCCGAGCCGTCACGGTGACGGGTTTCCGTGTGTCGACGACACCCGACCGGTCAGGTGACGGGTTCCGGTGTGACAGGTTTCCCTGTGTGTCAGACACCCGACCGGTCACGGTGACGGGTTTCCGTGTGTGACATACGACCGCGGTCCGTAACGGTTTCGTGTGTGTGTGACAGACACCCGACCGGTCACGGTGACGGGTTTCCGTGTGTGTCAGACACCCGGCCGTAGACAGGTTTCGTGTGTGAGACACCGGCGTCACGGTGACGGGTTTCCGTGTGTGTCAGACATGCGACTGGTCGAAAAAATAAAAAGTGGTTTGTGTGTGTGTTAATGTTGCTGTTTCTGCCCACAGGTGTGTGAGATTATCGAGAGCCCTCTCTTCCTGAAGCTGAACCCCATGACGAAACACACTGATGTAAGTACAAGAGAAACCGGCAGCCAGACGGCAGCTTGAGCATCTGAACCCCCTCTCGGGGTGGTTCACTGCCAAGTGCAATGTCCCGTTCTCTGGGTAAAACTAAATAATAATAACAATAATCCTTGCATTTGATTCAGCGCCTTATTTGAAGGCCTGTAGCTCAGGGGTTAGACCCCTCGCCTCGCAAGCGAGAGGACCTGGGTTTGATGAAACCTTAGGCAAGTTTCCTTACTCCCCAGAAGACACACACACAGACACACACACGCGCGCCTCTGTTTACCAGCAGTCAGTAGGAACCCGTTTGTTAGTCGATCACTTTTATTCCTTCCAAAAAACATCATAATTTGGTCACTCAAACCGTGACTGTTTGTGGGACACTCACTGCCGTGCGCAATTGGCTGCCGCGTTTCGCCCACAAAGTATACGTTCAATTCACCTTACAACTTGCATTTATATAGTGTTCGTCCCAGAGCATTTTACCGTATATCCTGTGAAGCGCTTTGAGACGCTTTAAAGACGTAATAAAAATGCACTATACCAAATGCAAGGATTTGTTATTATTATTGTGATCACGTCGTCGAAACAGTCTCTCAGTGCTTCACAGGATATACTGCAAAGTGTCGTGACTGTGTAGCAGTGATTGCGTCGTGTTTGAGCCCTCAACTGTCCTTTCTCCCCCACATCCGTGACATGACCCGCTCTGCCTTCCCCCAACTCCGCAACATCGCCCGATTCCGCCACTGCCTCTCCCCCTCAGGCCGACAAAATGCTCATCAACACGTTCATCACATCAACTGCGCTCAACTCCCAGCGTTTGATAATAAGTCTGGCATTTGATGTAGCACTTTATCACCTCGTTGAGACGTCTCAAAGCGCTTCACAGGATATACTCTAAAATGCAGTGACTATGTATTTTGTGGGTGAAACATAGCAGTCAGTTACACACAGGAGTGTCCCACAAACAGTCGTGGGTTGAGTGACACACTGAGCCGGGCTGACACACACACACACACACACACACTGAGCCGGGCTACACACACACACACACACACTGAGCCGGGCTCACACACACACACACACACCATGAGCCGGGCTAACACACACACACAACACTACACACTGAGCCGGGCTCACAACACACACCACTGAGCCGGGCTGACACACACATACACACACACACACACACACACACACTGAGCCGGGCTGACACACACACACACACACACACACACACACACACTGAGCCGGGCTGACACACACACACACACACACACACGCTGAGCCGGGCTCACACACACACGCTGAGCCGGGCTGGGCCGGGCTGACACACCCTCCAGAGGCCAGAGTTAAAAGCCGTCATTTGCCCCGTGGATAACGTTGGTACACGAGGGGTTAAACAGCAGTTTAACTCTTCGTGGCAGTTTGTGAATGGGCTTTAATTTGCCGCTCAACAGTTATGTTCTGTGATTTCCCACCAGACAGCTCTGAAGGTGACTATATTTAACTTGGAGACATTGAGCTCCAGCGCGGGGGGAATGGTCAGCCAGCCAGCCAGCCAGCCAGCCAGACAGACAGACAGACAGACAGACAGACAGACAGACAGACAGACAGACAGCCAGCCAGCCAGCCAGCCAGCCAGCCAGCCAGCCAGCCAGCCAGCCAGCCAGACAGACAGACAGACAGAAACAGACAGACAGACAGACAGACAGACAGACAGACAGACAGACAGACAGACAGACAGACAGACAGACAGAGACAGACAGACAGACAGACAGACAGACAGACAGACAGACAGACAGACAGACAGACAGACAGACAGACAGACAGACAGACAGACAGCGAGTCAGACAGCGAGTCAGACAGATAGGCAGACAGACAGACAGTCAGACAGATAGGCAGACAGACAGACAGACAGACAGACAGACAGACAGACAGACAGGGAAACCACAATTAGAATTAACTCATAATCTGTTACTGGGGCAGAGAATAGGCTCACACACTCACTGACTGTATCACACCACCCTCGCACTACTGTTTGTGTCACACTCACTAACTGTCACACACACAAACTCACTGACTGTTGTGTGTATCGGTGTGTGTGCGCGTGTGTGTGTCTCACTCACTGTGTGGGTGTGTGTACGTGTGTCTCACTGTTTGTTTGTCTGTCTGTGTGTCTCACTCTGTGTCTCACTCACTGAGTGTGTGTGCGCCCGCGCGTGTGTGTGCGTGTGTCACTGTCTCACTCACTGAGTGTGCGAGCGCGCGTGCGTGCGTGTGTCACTCTGTCTCACTCACTCAATGTGTGAGTGCGTGTGTCACTCATTCTGTGTCTCACTCACTCTGACTGACTCCCTTGCTGGACAGCGAGTGTGTGTGTGTGTGTGTGAGTGTGTGGCTCTGTGCTGGCAGTAGATGGCAATCGTGGGTCAGACACACACACACACCCACACACACACCCACACACCCACACACCCAGCCCCTGCCCACACCCTGTGCCCAGTTTACAGGGTTACCCACCTGCTTCCTGTCCTGCTGAGATTTTATAGATTTGCTGGGACTTTTATCCCATCATTAAAAGGCCGACATTAGCTGCGTAAGTACTTTAATAGCCTAATATAAGGTGTGTTCAGGAATGTGCCCCGCAGCGTGGCGGTCAGAGCCCTCGCCTCGCAAGCGAGAGGACCCAGGTTCGATTCCCGCGCCGGGTCAGATCAGGGCGACACGTTGGGCAAGTTTCCTTACTCCACGCACACGGACACGCGCCTCTGGTCACCGAGCGGTAAGTAGGAACCCGGCTGTTAGTCGATCGGCGGATTACTTTTCCGGGGGTAATAACCCCTCCAAAAAACAGGACAGTGATAATAATTTGGTCCACGGACCCACGACTGTTTGTGGGGACGTCGCCGGGCGCAATTGTGGCT